TTTTGAAAAAATGGTATTTTTTGTAAAAATTTCAAAATTGTGGTATTTTTGTAAAATTACACTTAACAAATACTATTTTTTAAAATTTTTCTAAAAATATTAGTATTATATTAGTAAGATATCCAATTGAGTTGCTCTAAGTAAACAGTTAAATAGACTTTGAGAAGTAGCGAACAGACAGTGATCCCAAGATGCTCCGAATGGCCAACTTTTGAAATGAATCTTTTAATCCAGCCACATCTCTCATTTTTCTCTCCATGTCCTCTTATTAATTTAATTATAGAAAACATTTTTATTTGTATGATTTTGAATTTATTTTTATTCATGGGTTCATTACTAATACTACCAAACGCTATAATATCATTAAATAAAACTACGAAATTATAAACAGAAGTAGAATGACAAAATAGTTTAATTAGAAATTTGTGACCACATAAAATTATATGCAAAACTGAATAATGATTTTGCGGTTATTTATTTTGCTAGTTAAAAATCGTAATGTTCTACTAGTTTAGGGAAAATATGTCTCCATAATTTAGATATATAAATTATATCATGTTTCAAAATGAATTGGCAATTTTGGATTGTACCATCACACATTTTTAAATTTTTAACATCACCTGCTAATTGATTCTAAACAAAAAGATTATCTAGTTGACTATATATTAACTTAAAAATATTTTACACATATGCTATGAACGGTTGCCGTAGCCTAGCTAGAACGTAGGAAACACACTTGTTAAATATTTATATCTATGACCAACATTTTTTTTTGCTAAACTATATCCATGACCAACATTGTTACCAATAATTCTTTATATATTAAAAAAAACACTGTTAACAATAATTTCAATGGTATCAGCCTTACATTATCTAAAAATATATGAATATTCATGATTCTGACCTGCACGTTTTTTATTAACATTGCTTTTGAAGATTCTTGTCCATTAGGGTAGCGAGAAACTATTTTCGAAAACAAGAAAATTCAATTTTAAAAAGAAACAAGTAACCAAAAGCTAAGAGAAAAATATGTGGAAAAATAAGAAATTATGCAAACCACTTGACACTGCGCAGAACCATATAATGGGAAGTTAGTGGGTCTACTAAATTTCCTTGGACCACAACTTGG